TTTTGCTGGAAAATATTTTTAGAAGAAGATAATGCAGTTGCCAGCTCTCACGGGAATCCGTCTGTCCCCGAGTCGTTGCTGTTGAAGCACTTGGCTCAAACTGTGGAGAAACAACGGGGAGAAATTGCTTTTCCCAAATCCAGTAACCTCCTCGTGTTGGGGGACGAATGGGAAACTTTGGCAAAATCAAAGCTTGGCCTTTCTGCCGGGCCTGAGGCTAAAGAAGCTGAGAGGTCCCAAAAATCCAAACCCAGGTTTATCTTCGGTTTTATACCAGCCATGAGAAACCAGGCAAATAAGGGTAAAATCTCCATTCAACTCTTTGCTTAACTGCACCTTCGGGCTAAGTTAATGAAAATATTTCCATTTTGCTCTGTCCGGTGGCTTCACGCATCCTTTAATGCCCCTTCCCGGCCTGAAGACTCGCTCTCTGATCCTCACTACCCTGCACTTGTCCCCACATTTCGGGGGACACCCCGAGCGCCTGGAGGGAGGCTTTGAAGGGTGCCAGTGAGCGCCCTCGGTGCAGGGGCACGGAGGTGTCGGGGCCGTTCCTCCATCCGCATCGGCAGCAGGTACCAGCGTGGTTTGCCTCTTTTATGCTAAAATGCCGGCAAAGAATTTTGAAGGAATAAACTGGATTTTCTCCAAACTCGTGGCCTTTCGCTTGGAGAAATATTGTGAGTCAAAATCTGAAAATGAACAGTTTAACGTTAAAAAAAAAAAAAAAGGGAACTTGGAAGGGATTGCCAAGAATAACACTTTTTCCCCATCACTACCACGTGATGCAATTCGTTGCGCCCTTGCCGGGGAGGACCTGGGGGTTTGCTGGCATGAGGGTGGAAGCAAAGGGACCCGGAGGAATTTCGTACCGGAGCAATCTTTAGGCACTGATGTATTTTACCTTGGCTTGTCCAGGTGACGGGGAAGGGGGGGCCTACAGGTGTGGCTCGGACTTGAAAGAACACATGGCAATGTGATGGTGCCCCAATTACAGGCACAGGGGTTTCGTTGCCGAGGGCCCATCCACGGCGCAGAGATGTGCTGCTGAGGTGAGACTTTCCACCTGCAACAGCCCCCCGAACACCAGAGTCCCCACGACCTGCAAAGACACGGCTGCAGACCTGCTGCTTTCAAATTATCGAGCGTATTTCAAATTGCCCATCGCTAAAAGGAACAACAAACCCAAATTGTAGGGACTGCACATGAAATCAAGACAAGGAGGTCTCGCAAGGTCTGAAACCTGCGCTGACACTGACGCGAGGTTCCTGACTGAATACATCTTTCCTGCTGGCCTTCAGCGGGGTCTATCACACAAAGACCTCCGAGATACCAACCCTCTGCTCCCAACTGCCTCTGGGCACGGGCGGCCCCGCAGAGCAGAGCTTCCAGATGTGGTTTCCCTTCCTTCGGGCCACCCCTTCCCTCCCTCCCTCCGTTTCTTCACGGCACAGTCCCTGCTTTCTGCTTTACAGCGCTGCAGTGACTTGTTGCAGTAGATGCAGGCTGCTCCTCCCGGAAGGTAACAAACGCGCTAACAGAGTGCTAATTAGGATACTTAATTAC